TCCTGCTGGCAAAAGTGCCCATGTCTTCTGGCAAAACAGAAGGCTTTTCTGCTTCCGCCAACGTCACATTCTGGTCTGAGGAGGACGGCTCTTGGGTTCCCTCTGCCGTGCAAATTGAGAATTGTGCCGGGGGAGAACAAGACTCCGCAGCAGCAAGTGTGGTCTGTGTGCTGGAGAGAACTGGAGGAGACGGGCGTGCTCTGGCTGCTGCCGGCTCCAGTGACAGCACCTCAAGGCGATAGTGCCCCAAATCCCAGCGCAGGGTCTTCTGGGTTCCTTTCCCCCCGTTAACAGTTTGGGATTCCCCCAGGCCCAAATTGTGCTGAGATGAAGGTTATGGGCCGGTAGCCTGAGAAACTTCCGGCAAAAAGAGGGACGCATGCACTCTGAAGGGACGCCTGCGCTCTGTCAGCCACCATCTGAATCTCTCTCTCTCTCTCTCTGGCTTTGCAGGGGTCGTGGTGGTTTTCTTCTCTGCCTTCCCGACAGCCTCGCTCTACTATCTCCTCTGGTCTATTTCATACATCTTCTTCCCCACTGCCTTGTGGAGCGACAAAGCGTGAGGCCACCTGCGGCGTCGCACAGACAGCGCCAGCTTCGTGCACGGCTCCGGTGACGCGTTCGAGGCAGCCCTGCGGTTCCGGCCGAGCGATCCAGTGTTAACATCCATGAGTTGCCTAAAACCTTACTAAAGCTTTCACTGTCCTGACTTGAACGAAATGGCTTTGGGGTGTCTCCATCACATCCTCCGGGTAGGAGGACCCTCGGGGGCGCGTGGCGGAGGCCTGCTGCCAGGTGGAGGACTGGCGCCCCCTCCCAGCCTCGTGTTCGGTGTAGATATGAATGTACAGATTCTTGATAAAGAACACTCTATAGAGATTTCAGAGGAAGTCATTTTTAGATCCCCCCCCCCGTCCTTGGTGTATCACGTTGGTGGCTTTTAGGGGCTCTCTGCGCTCTCCAGCACCTGCCAGGAATCCTCTTCTCTCCAGGGTGGGGTCTGGAAAAGGAGACCCCCCTCCCTCTCTGCCAACATCCGGCCATCTTTGTCTGGGAAGCCTGGGGTGTGTGTGGTGAAAGCGAGTCAACATAAGAACATAAGAGACGCCAATGTTGGATCAGGCCAAAGGCCCATCCAGTCCAACACTCTGTGTCACACAGTGGCCAGAAATACCAGTGCCATCAGGAGGTCCACCAGTGGGGCCAGGACATTAGAAGCCCTCCCACTGTTGGCCCCCCCACAAGCACCAAGAAGACAGAGCCCCCCTTGCCCCAGAGCCCCTATCTATACCTTGTGGCTAATAGCCACTGATGGACCTCTGCTCCATATGCTTATCTAATTCCCTTTTGAAGCTGTCCATGCTTGTAGCCGCCACCACTTCCTGTGGCAGTGAATTCCATGTGTTAATCACTCTTTGGGTGAAGGAGGACTCCCTTTTATCTGTTCTAACCCGACCGCTCAGCAATTTTATTGAGTGCCCACGAGTTCTTGTCTTGAGTACCTCTTTCTCTACCTGCTCTATCCCATGCATAATCTTATAAACCTCAATCATGTCACCCCTCAGTCGTCTTTTCTCCAAGCTAAAGAGCCCCAAGCGCTTTAACCTTTCCTCATAGGGAAAGCGTTCCAACCCTTTTATCATTCTAGTTGCCCTTTTCTGCACTTTTTCCAAAGCGATAATATCCTTTTTAAGGTGTGGTGACCAGAACTGCACACAGTATTCCAAATGAGGTCTCACCGTTGATTTATATAGGGGCATTATGATATTGGCTGATCTGTTTTCAATTCCCTTCCTAATAATCCCCAGCATAGCACTGGCCTTTTTTATTGCAGTCACACACTGTCTCGGGCCTGTTGGGTTTGTTTGGATTTGCGACACTCCTTGGAGCACCTCTTAGTTAAGGAGTTAATTCTTATCGCTCTGGGACCAAAACTAGACTGTAGCGAAGGAGGAATCGCTGCTCCCCTTGTGGCCAACCCATCCCCACGCCCTGTGAAGGGCACAGCTGTAGCTTTTTTGGCCTTCCTTGTCCTCTCCAGGATGGCCTGGAGGAAGGCCTGGTTTGAACTCAGACTGCCCCCCCCCAATATTGAACAATTTAACCTATTAAAGGGTTTAACTTTTCCTGCCTCTTAAAAGGGTCCAGACCAACAATGTCCAGTTTTATTTGCAGGGTCACGAGCCATTAGCCAAGAATCCTCATTCTGGCTCATTTCCACACGTGGTGGAGATGCCGGTGGGCACATCCTCTGGGCATGTCCTTCGGGATGTGGACCTGAGGCAAGCTTGGAGATTTCCTAGTTGTCTGGCATCAAGACCCTGACCCCGTTTCTTGCCACATCTGAAGAGCCAAACCATCCCATCCTGCAGAAGCAAGCCACAGGCCCTGGGGACAAAACAGAGGCCGCCTGGACGGGAAGGCCCTGCAGGTCTGGAACAGGCCCCACCTGGACCTTCCCCCACTAGGCAGGTCTCTCTTTTGCTTCTTTGCCTTCAGTTCCAGACTCCAAGGCGAAGAGCCCTGTGTGAAAATTACCTCTGTAAGAAACAGCCCTGCGTGGGTGTGGTACACCTGCCAGCACCACACAGCCTAGTTTCCCTCAGCCCTTTGGAGAGACAGATGGCGACCTGAGCAGTTCCCCCTTTTCAAGAGCGCCAGTCCCTGGACAGAAATACCTGGAGTGCCTCTGAAGTCATGTTGCTCAATACCCCCCCCTTGTCCCGAAGAGGATCCGTGGGATGTGGCCGAGAAGAAATCTCTTTTTACCTCCCTAAAGGACTTGCTAGGCTAGAATTCTCCATTGTGGGGCAAAGCCCCGAGCCAGTCACTTGCACGGAGCCAGCAAGGTTTGCTGCTGTCAAGAGAGAGCAAAAAAGTCCCTGTGTCGGGAAGCAACTGTGCTATTTATTTTTTACTGATCAATGGAATGAGACATTCCTAGGAAACGGACTTTTCTTCCTACAGTTGTTTTAATGAGGAAAGGTCCAGACGATTTGTTGTGTGTGTGTGTGTCATTGGAAAACTGTACTTGAAACTAATGATCATGTGTTTTGGGAAATAAAACGTGAAGACTGTGATGCCTCTGTCTTGTGCAAGTTGGCCTCACCTGGAATGGCCCAGCTTAGGTGGCCTTAGGCAGGGAGGGAGGGAGGGAGAGCGCCTCCTCGGTTGGTGAAATGGAAAGGTGTGGGCAGCCCGGGGAGGGGAAGGGGTCTGCTATGCTGCAGGGAACAACACAGCAGCTCACTTCAAAATGGGGTGAGTCCTCAAACCCTCTTAGAACCCCAGGCAAATGCAGAAAACAGCTTTGTTTCTTACAAAGTTTATTTCTCAAACCACAGTAATAAATAGAGTTAAAAACCAGCGTTCCAAAATGAGGAGGAGGAGAGGCCAGACGACCCATGAGAGAAGTCAAGAGCCAGACACTGGCTGGGGAAGCATCTCCCGCTCACTGTCTTATCCACGGTCAGGGGTTGTCCAGTTCCACCCGATGGCAGATGGTGGCCAGCTGGGGAATGGGGCGCCGTTCCTCCAGGCTGGACGTGCAGGTGAAACAGCTGCTGGCCCCCTGGGTGCAGGGTCAAGCCCTCACTCACCAGACGCCTGCATCTGTTTGCAGAAGGCATCGAACTGCTGCTGCTCCAGCTCCGTCATCACTCTGTTGAGGGCATAGATCTGGGTACCAAGCAAAAGAGGCACAGATTACATGCCAGGGAGGGGCAACCGCCAAGAAAGGCAGGGTGCAGTTTGGGAGTCCCTCAGAACCTTTCCTAGGACTGACAACACATCTGCCCGCCCGTCATCGTGGGCCTTCCGGTGGGCATCTGGCCCACCGGAAAACAGGATGCCCAACTAGAAGGATCCTCCTCGGTCAGCTCCTGAAGGGCTCTTCTGATGTCCCTGCACTCCTTGGCCCTCTCTTCTCCTAAGCATGGGGGGGGGGGGCTGATGGGAAATTGCTGAGCCTCTCCTAACAGCAGGCCACACAGTGTACTATGAACACAGAAAGGAAAGCTCACACCGCTGCCCTGTTAATAGAAAAGCGGACCTCACTCAGATCAGGGAAGGGTCCAGTTTTAGTTTACCGAGCATGGCACCTCCTTGCTCATCAAAAGAACATAAGAGATGCCAATGTTGGATCAGGCCAAAGGCCCATCCCGTCCAACACTCCGTGTCACACAGTGGCCAGAAATACTAGAGGTCCACCAGTGGGGCCAGGACATTAGAAGCCCTCCCACTGTTGACCCCCCCTAAGCACCAAGACGACAGAGCATCACTTGCCCCAGAGTCCCTATCTATACCTTGTGGCTAATAGCCACTGATGGACCTCTGCTCCATATGCTTCTCTAATTCCCTCTTGAAGCCGTCCATGCTTGTAGCCGCCACCACTTCCTGTGGCAGTGAATTCCATGTGTTAATCACTCTTTGGGTGAAGAAGGACTTCCTTTTATCCGTTCCAACCCGACCGCTCAGCAATTTCATGGAGTGCCCACGAGTTCTTGTCTTGTGAGAAAGGGAGAAAAGTACCTCTTTCTCTACCTGCTCTTTCCCATGCATAATCTTATAAACCTCAATCATGTCACCCCTCAGTCGTCGTTTCTCCAAGCTAAAGAGCCCTAAGCGCCATCCAGCTGCTGCGTGCGAAACACTCGCTCTCTTCCTTCCTTTGCTGTGGCTGCTCCAGAGACACAGAAGGGTTGGCATTTCCATTAAGGGAACAGGATGGGTCGTTCTGACCTCTGTGAAAGGTTTTAAGCACTTTTTTTTTTTAATTTTATTTTTGGGATTTATATCCCGCCCCATCCAATATACAGCTCGGGGCGGCTAACAAACGGCCATGCCGAAGTTAAATCATGCATACAACCTACAGCATAATAAAAACACTATATCTTGACATAAAAATTTGGTGCTTTGATAATTTACATAAAATCCAAGATGGGCGACGTCGCACACTGGCGGCCAAGTTCTTCACAGCAGGAGCGCCAGGAAGAATGTTTCCCCAGCTCTATTGGGCGACATCTATCCCCACTATGTGGGGTAGATGGTTGGAATATCATTGGTGGAATAGTGGCGGCGGCGGCTTTTGTGTGAAAGGCGCGGTTTATTGGATGAAGCACAACTGTTTGTATGTCGTCCTCCTCTGCTCGTGTTTGTTGCACTCGTTAAGAGCATCGGGAGAGCCCTGCCGGGTCAGACCGAGACCCAATCGAGCCCAGCAACCTCTTCCACCCAGTGGCCAGCCACAGGCCCTCCTAGGGAGGCCCGTGGGGATCACCCTCTTTCGCACGGCCTTCTCATCCCCTTAGGCTGCCTCCAGCCTCACTGAGAAAGGCGGACGACAAAGGAAACGGGACGAAGTTTGGCCCCCCCAGCCCCCCCCCCGGCGCCTGGAAGACCAGCAAAGTTTTAATTCTGGGGGGGGATGCTTTTGTGCGCATGCGCACGGAAACTTACAGCCAGAATTAAACTTTGCTGGTCTTCCAGGTGCCCGACGGGATTCCAACCTCAATCTATTGCTTCGAACCAGCACGGCCGCCCTCCTGGGCCTTTACAGGATCGACGCCTTTCCCAGCAGCGCCCTCCAGGAAGCCCCCCACTGCCACTCGCACGCCGGCTGCCCCTGGACAGGGACGCTCCTCCCCCAACTGTCGCATCAGGCCGCAGAACGGAGCCCCGCCCCCCGCACATGCGCAGTAGCACCACCCCGAGCCCGGCGCCCCCCCACGCAGCCCTGTCGTTAGCTCGGCCCCGCCCACCTCGGCGCGCTGCCGCTGCTTGAGCTCCTGTTGGGCCGCGCGCTGTGAGAGCCAGGAAGCAAAATGGCGGCGGGGCGGAGGAACGCCGGCGCCTCGGACGGCGCATGCGCGGGAGCCGCTCTAGCCGCGCTTCGATGGGCCCCGGCACGCCAAAGAGGGAAGGGCAGGAGAGCGGCTCGCGACTTCCGGCCCTCAACGACCGAGCTGTAGTGGACGAGCGCGGCTATCCCCGCAATTGGAAGTCGGAGGGGGGGGTCTGTTGCTCCCCCCCCGTCTCTGAGTGTGCTGCGTTTGCCCCGGGGCTCAGGGAGGCAAAAGAAGTTTCGCCCCGCTCCCCCCGACGGCCGCGGCCGTAACTTTTTAAAGCGCCCCTCCCGAGACCTGGGGAGAGCCAGAATGACTTCTTCTCGCGTGTGATGTCCGCTGGGACATCCCACGGGAGAGGTGGGATTTGCCCCTAGGAGTCCACCCTGGGCATTATTGCCTATATGGGCAATGATGGATTCCTTGTTGGCAGAAGCCCGGAGCTGAGCGCTGGCCCAGGGCCTCTGTGCCGGGGAGGGGGAATGGTCCTTCTCCCGCGCAGCCCCCTCCCCGCACCCCTGCGTCCTGCCGGGCGGCGCCTCCTGCGCCTTTAAGGCGTCCCTCCTCCTCCTCCTCCTCTTCCCCGCCCCGTGCTCCCTCGCCTGACTTCCTGGCGGCGGAGGGCTGAGCCGCTCGCTCGCTCTCTAACTCGCTCGGACTGTACAGGGGCCCCTTTGTGCGCCCGCCGCGCCTCCCCCAGCCCGGGCAGGCAGGCAGGCAGGCAGGCAAACCCCGTCGGGCGCTGGGGGCTCCGTGCGCGCTGCTGCTGCTGCGGCTGCTCCTCCTCCTCCTCCTCTCCGGCCGTTGGGTCCGTGAGCGGCGGCAGGTTCCGGGGCGATGCGCGGCGGCGTCGGGGGTCGGCGGGCGGAGTGAAGGCGGCGGGC